CTCCCTATGTGTCTGTGTGATTTGAGTCACAGTTGTGTGAGTGTGGCTTGTGTCGGTGTGTGCAGGATCCCGGGCACAGGGGACTAGGTGTGGATGTGTCAGGCCGTGGGGCTGCATAAGCCACGCGTGTCCTGTCCGTGGAACCCACGTGGTGCTCAGCCGTGTGATCTAGTGCGACAGTCCAGTGCTCCAGGACTGAGCCGGGTGTGGTGTTTGTGGGCCGAGTGGCAGCCATGACCCTAAGGGTGAGGAGAGACAAGCAGGTGAGGCCTGAGTGCACTCCAGGAGCCAGGCTGGTAAGTGTGGAGTAAGGGACCAGCCAGGGGGACCCCCAAGCCTGTGTCAGACCCCCACTTGTCTGGGAAACTGAGTGGCAGGGTGTTGTCTTGGGATCTGAGCTGGGTCCAGATGCTGATTGTGTATGTGTGTGTGTGTTGTGCAATGGAGTCTCGCATGGCTTCATGCGTGGCTGGGGGAAGCTTGTATGAGTTTGTGCCCAGTTCTGTGATGGTGGGTGGACACTGGGTTTGGTCATGGTGTGTGTGTGTAGTGTGTGTGTGTGTGTGTGTGTGTGTGTGTTAGGGGCAACTGTATTGCAATTCCTGTGTCTTGTGTGCGTGCCCACATGAGGGTTAGGAGGGGCTGTGTGTGCAGTGTGCAATGTGCGTGTGGGGTGTTGTCTGGTATTTGTGTGTGTTGTGTCTGGGTGTTGCTGTGTCTCTGTGTACATGGTGTGTGTGTGTGTGTGTGTGATGTGCAGTAGGTGCTGATGTATGAACATGGTGTGGAGCTGATGTGTGTGGTGTGCTCTGGGGTGTGCCGTATGACACTGTGGTGTGTGGCATGTGGCATGGTGTGCTGCATGTGTGGTATGGTGCAGTGTGGTGTGATCTGTGTGTACCCCAGGCACGGGTCTCCCTCTGAGCCAGGCAGCACGGAGTGGCATGGGTGGGCGTGGTCGGGCACTGCGTGGAGTGGGGTGGGGTGGGGGGAGGGGAACAGGCACCAGCAGGACAGATGGACGCAGCAGCAGCAGCAGCATGGGTGGAGCTGCAGTCACGCATAGTCAGCATGGGTCATGCACCCACCTGGCGGGACAGGACAGGGTGGGCAGCATGGCACCCTATGACCCTGGGGTATGCCAGACCCATTGAGGGCCATGTGCATGGCTGCGACCTGTACGGGCCCTGAGGAGGATGGAGAACCTGGACTCTGAGTGTGTCTGTCCTGGGTGTGCGTGTGAGTGTGCCTGTGCGTGTGTGCCCGTGCGTGTGCTCATGCGCATGTGTGCGGGGGCAGCGGTGGGAGAGGGGTCTTGGACTGCGTCTCTCTCCTCTTTAGACAGAGCCCCGGAGAAGATATGAAATTTAAAAAAAAAATCAATTTTCATTCCACTTGTGCAGACTGTGTTAAGGGGGGTGGGGACGGGGCCCGGTGAGGGATGAAGGGGCTGGGGGCGGTGTGAGGCCCGAGGCGGCTCCGGAGGCGTCCAGCACAGCTTAGAGAAATCAAAACAACTGGTTAAACCCCAGCCCAGGGGGGTTGGGGGGGTGGGGGGAGAGGGGGAGGCAGAAGGGGGAGACCGGCGGAGAGGGAGCAGGAAAACAGAGGGACCCCCAGAGACACGGTGGGACAGACAGAGGTGTCTAGAGACAGAAACGGAGACACACAGAGAGGGAGACTTTCAGAGACAGACAGACAGACAGATGCTGACAGCTGGAGTGTGCTAAGGTAGCCACAGAAGAAGGTCTGAGATGGGTGCACGTTTTACACACACACACTCACACATGCACAAGTCAGACACATGTGCATGTGAAGAGCCATGCTTGAGAAGGCTGAGGATGGATGGACAGATGGATGGACAGACAGAGGGACAGACAGAGGGACAGATGGTGACAGGAGCAGCGGGGACTTGGGTGGGGTTGCTTCTGAGTATAGCTAACCTCTCAACCAAGCCTTGTCCTGGAGAAGCAAGTGTGTATATGTGTGTGTGTGTGAGTGTGTGTATGTATGTGAATACATACACTCCACGAGTTTGCTGTCTGGTTGTGGCTGGCTGTGTTGTGTGTTTCTCCATCTCTGCAGATGACTATGGGTGTGGGTGGCTGAGGGTCTCGGGGATTTGTCTGTTTCTGTGTGATCTTGTCTCTGTGTGTGATTGGGTGTCCTGTGTGTGCTTCTGTATTGGACTGTGAGCCTTTGTATATGTGTGTGGGTGGGTGTGGGTGTGGGAGAGAGAAAGTCTGGGATTTGTGATTGTGGGTCTTTGTTTCTGTGTAAGACTGAGTTGGTGTCTTGAGTCTCTGGGTCCAATTATGTGTCTTTCTGTGTGACTGACTCACATTGTACATGACCGTGTTGGGGTGTGTGATTTACGGATGCAGGGCCCACAGTTGTGTGTGCCGGTAGTGTGTTTTGTGTGGCTGACTTTGGGGTGGTGAGTCTGACTTTGTATCTCTGGGTGTGTAGTTCCATGTTGCTTGACAGTGGCGGGGCACATGAGCTTGTGTGGATGTGTGCATGGGTGTGAGCTGTGTGTTGTGGCAGGCAGGGTGTGGATCACTTGGGGTATGGGCTGTGCCTAGGTTGGTGTGGGTCTGTGTGATTGAGCTTGACAAGAAGCAAAAAGAGATAGCCAGCTCCGCTCCACCCGGCTGCCTCACATGCACGCGTGTGCGCGCGCACACACACACACACACACACACACACACACACACACACACATTCCAAGCCGTGGCTGCGGGCGGTGGAGATGGGGGCGAGGGGGGGAGTGGAGGAAGCAAAATAAAATTAAAAATTAAAGCTTGCCCGGAGTCCCCATCTGCACCATGCGGCCGGCCAGCGGGGAGGGGGGGCTACGCTGCTCCCCTCTGCAACCACTGGTGCTGCGGCTGTCTGTCCATCTGTCCAGCCACCCCGTCCTACCTGGCCCCTGCCTGGACCTTACAGCCCCGGGCCACAGGCCCTGGCTTCTTCCATGGGTCGATTGGCGATCAATGGGGCTAGGGGGGCGCCAGGGGCAGGGCGAGATCAAAAGGACCCCAAGAGAGGGACACTGGGACTGAAGCAGAGACCCGGAGACACAGACTTGGAGATGGGATGGGGTAGGGAGGGGACAGAGACAGGGACAGAGACTTTGCCCAAAGTGGAAACAGGGAAGTGGAGATGGGGAAGCAGGCAAACCCTGCGGAGAGCCGAAGACAGGAGGATGCGCAGACAGACGCGGGGACAGACACCCAGGCTGGGAGCGGTGGTCTGGGGTGGAAACAGCGGCAGTGGCTGGGTGGGACAGGGTTGGGGGGGGACTGAACTGACTCGGGACCCAGGCGGGTGGGGTGGGGGGCAGGCACAGAGCCGCAGAGATCCCCGCGCTTGCTCGCTCGCGCGGCAGTGGCAAGGGGGGGAGCGTGGGAGCAGGGCCCCGAGCGCCGATCCCACGGCTCCTCGTTATAACGTGTCCGGAGGAGGCGGCGGGGAGTTGAAAGCGTTGGGAAGAGAAATCAAAACCAACACGGAAATGAGAGGGGCCAAGGGGAGGGGGTGGGGGCAGGAGGAAGGAGGGGGGACCCGGGGAGGAGGCCGGGAGAGAGGGAGGTGGGAGAGAGGTGGGGAGGGAGGGAGAGCTGGGGAGAGGAGAAGGGAGAGACTACAGGAGTGAGAGACGGGATGGGTGGGGAGATGGAGGAAGGGGAGAGGGGGAGGGAGAGAGACAGAGACAAAGGGAAAGCTGAGAGACTTGAGAGACAAATTGGGGAGGTGGGGCCGAGAGGGGAAGAGACGGGGGACGGGGAGAGGAGGCAGGGAGAAGAGAGGGGGTGGAGGGGAGCGGCAGAGACTCGGGAAGAAACTGAAGGATGGAGATGGGGAGAGACCTGCCAGGTGGAGGAGGGACCAGGAAAGGGGTGTGGAGGGAGTAGCAGGTGATGGTGAGAGAGAGGCAGGGGTGGGGAGGGAAGGCTGTGGGAGGTGGGACCCCCCCCCCAGACCCCAGGAGGCAGATGTGGGCCTGAGGAAGGAAGCTGAGTTGGGGTGTTTGGGGGCGACAGGGAGGGGAACGTGGGTGTCCCCAAGGTGAGGTCTTGGAAGCTGGGGGGAACCTAAGGGGTGGGTTTGGGTGGCCCTAAGGATGGGGTGTCTGAAGAAGTCAGAGGACTGAGGGATCTAGGTCTGGGGGTGCATGGGGTGTCCTGAGGGGTGTGGGGTGAGAGGGGTAGGAGGTAACCAGAGTGGAGTGGACGTCTGATGGGGGAGGCAGACCCCGGGGGATGGTGTCTGAATTGGGGGGATCCAAGGGGAATGGCTGTCTGAGGGGGGGAAGGCAGAGCCAAGTGGGAGGAGAGTCCGAGGGGGAAACCAGATCATCGCAGTGGCGGGAGTTGGGAAGTCGGGGGTGAGCCCGAGCCGCAGGTTGGCGGCTAGGTGAGGGGGTCTGCGGACTCAGGCTGGAGCTGAGGGCAGGGAGGACCCGGGCTCTGCCCCACCCCATCCTCTGGTCCTGGTCTGCAGGTGGCCAGCTCTGAGCAGACAGCGCTGGGGGTCAGCGGGGTGGGGGGCGAGTTTCTTGATGGGAGCGCAGGAATCCAGTGGCACATAGAGCCACGCGGGAGACGGGAGATGTGGAAAAGCAGGGGCCAGCCCTGAGGTCGGGCACGAGGCAGGGGGAGATGGCAGGAGAGATGAGGGGCGGGACCCAGCCAGGAGCAGAGCCGGTTAGAGACCGAGGAGGACCCGAGGAAGGAGAGGAGCCTGCGGGGAAGAGGGAAGGTCAATTGCTCAGGCTGCAGCTGGACAGACGGATGGACAGACTGGGAGGGGGGGTGACCAGCAGGCAGAGGGAACTCTGTAGGGGGACAGCAGGGGAATGGGAAGGGATTTGGGGGGCGGGAGTTCTGGGAGAGGGGGACAAGCCTAGCAGCTGGCTGATCCATGTCTGTCTCTCCTGCTGTCCTGTCCTGTGTCTGTCTGTCTGTCTGTCCCGGCCTCTGCAGGGCCCGGCCGCCATGGACTGTAGCTGCGTCTCTGATCTTCTCTTCGCCCCACCCGCTCTGCCGGCTCTCTGGACCCCCGGTAACTGACCCCCCCATCTCTCTCTCTCTCTTTCTCTCTCTCTCTCCTCTCCCCATCCACCTGTGTCTTGCTCCTCTGCTCTCCATCAAAGTCCCCTGAATAAGCCTCCTTCATGGAAAAACTTAGCTCGAAACTTCCCAGCCCACTGAGGAGACGTGAGGGTCTTTTTTGGAGGGTGGGTGAGGTGTGGAGGGGGGCTGGGGTCCCCCAGCATCTCTGCTACACGCACACCGCACACCTACTCCAGGATCTGCTCACAGAGAGGGCAGGGCCCAGGGCTGGAAGGACAGAGGGACAGATGGACAGGCAGCCAGAGCCCAGGGAAGCGAGGATGGCTTGTTCAGGACTGGGGATTTTGTGGGCAGGATGGTCAGCGTGGAGGTTACGTGTCCCACGGGTGGCAGCCTGTCCTCAGTGCTCGGCAGGGAAGGAGGGAGCCCGGCTCTTTGGCTCTCGTTGGGAAGTGTGTCTACCCCTCTCGTGTTTGTGCAAGGGGACTCGCGGGGCAGGCACGGGCCATCTGCTTGCATGCATGAGCTGTGTGCTTGCTTGTATGTGTCTCTGTGGTGGCCAAGCAATCTGAGGGTGTTTCGGCTGGAGCCTGTGTGTGTGTGTGTGTGTGTGTGCGTGCGCACGCGTGCACACACACGTTCGTGTGTCCCTGACTCAGAGGGGCGAAGGAGCGTGTGGCTTTCCTGACAGGGGTCTTGATGCATTGGGGGGACAGTGGATGAACCCCTGGCCTCTGTGTTGGGGGCCAGGCTGGTTTCAGCCATGTGTGTAGAACACCGGGGTGGACCCTCTCTCTACCAAGCAGGGTATACCCTCACAATTGAGGACCATGTTTGTTCTGAGTTGGGTTTCATGTTGTCAACTTGGCTTTCTATATGTGTGGGTTCCTCGGGAAGCCATGTTTTTGGGGTGTAAAATAAAGAACTAGGAGTTAAAATTTCTCCCTCCCAAGGGGATCCTATCTGGCATCAGCACCCACTTATGCACCAGGCAGCCCGGCTGGGACTCCAGCTCCGAAAATCCCAGGAAGCCAGAAAGGGCTCCCCAGCAAGAGGGCCCAGCCCCCCCCCCCCATCTTCTAGCTCAGTGCCATCTTCATGCATGTGGGTCCTCCCCAGCCACCTTCTGTTTCTCTCCCCTTTCTGGTCTGGGCATGGTGGCGAACAGGTGTGTGCCCCAGGGTCTTGGCCGAGTCCCCTTTCCCTTTGCATTTATGCCTAGTTCTAGAGCCTGGGCAGCAGGGTCAGGAAGCCCCTCTCAGGGTGCGCTGTGTCAGTGTGCGTGGGCTGTGTTGACACGCGTGTGCCTGTGGATGGAGGGTGGGAGGCTGTGCTGTCGCACTGTGGCACCCTGGCTGTGCTGTCTCTAGGGGGCCATGTGTCCTGCTGCCGCTTTGTCTCCACACTGAGTGTCCGTGGGGACTTTGGGCTCCTGTGTCTTGTCACGCAACTGTGTTGGTGGGCCCCAGTCCCCAGGGGCGAGAGGGGATGAGTGCTGGAGCATGTGGTGCTGTGTGGTCCTGGGTGCTGGGACTTTGATCTCTCTCAATGACCCTCGGTGTCTGTGTCCTACGGTGCAGTGGACTGGTGTTTGTCTGTGCGCACACACACTGGTACACACTCCCCCTGGACAGTTGTCCATAGACTGGAGCAGAGGCGTGGAGTGGGGGTGGGGGAATGGGTTGTGAAGGGCACAATGTACAGGGCTCAGAGATGTGTGCACATGCTGGGGCCTGTGGGGGCCTCAGGGAATGGAGGGAACAGGATGGGGAGCAGACTCCAGAGGCCTCCTAAGCGAGCCAGTAGCAGAGGGAAGAGAAGGTCTACTGCTGCCCAGGGGTGCCCTTCCTGCTAGCTGCTTCCTACAGCCCACCTGCAGGAAACCAGCCCCCTAACCCACTCCTATATGCCAAGCCTGGGGGTCCTGTCTCACTGTCTGGACAATCTGGGGACTAGACACAGCAGGGCAGGGCTGGGGAGCCCCCCATCCTGGCCTCCTGACCCCCTAGGCCATGCTTCCTGGTTTCTCGTCCTCAGGGTTTGCTTTCCCGGATTGGGCCTACAAGCCGGAGTCATCCCCCGGCTCCCGGCAGATCCAGCTGTGGCACTTTATCCTTGAGCTGCTGCAGAAGGAGGAATACCAGGGCGTCATCGCCTGGCAGGGGGATTACGGGGAATTCGTCATCAAGGACCCGGATGAGGTCGCCCGCCTCTGGGGCATCCGCAAGTGCAAGCCCCACATGAACTATGACAAGCTGAGCCGGGCTCTGCGGTGAGGGGGGGGGGCATGCGCTGAGGGCCCTGCAGTGGGGGGGGGGGGGGGGCGTGCGCTGCGGGCCCTGTGGTGGGGGTGTGTGTGTGTGCACGCTGTGGGCCCTGCGGTGGGGGTGTGCTGCAGGCCCGGACACCCCACCTTCATCACTCCTGCCCCTGCCCCACATGCTGGGACTGCCTCCCAGTGCACCCCAAAGCATAGAGCTCAATAGGGTGGCTATTATGATGACTCGTGAATGGGAGGCTGGAAGGAGCCAAGCCCTGAGCTTTGGAGCCCTGCCTCAGTGTCCCTGGGGCTCCCCGGCCTTCCCCAGCATGCCCTCACTCTGTCCCCACAGTTACTACTACAATAAACGCATCCTGCACAAGACCAAAGGCAAGAGGTTCACGTACAAGTTCAACTTTAGCAAGGTCGTGCTGGTCAACTACCCACTGCTGGATGTGGCGGCTGCCGCCACCGGCTCCCCGCTCTTGCTGACCCCCAGCCCCTTTGGAGGGGGGCCTGGGCCAGATGCGCCTCCCCTCACCCCAGAGGTGAGTTTAGATACCTGACTCCCAGAACAGTATATGGGGTACCTGGTGTCCCTCCCCTTAACCATGAGTCCCCTGGGAGAGGGGGCGCCATCTCCCATTCCACTCCTCTCTAGGCCCTGCAGACACTCTTCTCTGCCCCACGCCTGGGAGAGCCGGGAACCAGGACACCCCTGTTCACTCCCGAGACGGATAAACTGCGTCTGGACAGCCCCTTCCCGTTTCTGGGCTCTGGTAAGGGCCTGATTGTGTGGGAGCGGAGAGAAGGGGGATATCTGGGGGGGGGGGAGGATGATGGAGGGGGCTTAGGGCCAGGCATTGTGCAAGGAGTATGTGTTTGAAAGCCAAATGGGAGGAGGACAAACCAGAAGAAGAGTTCAGGGGCACTAAAGGAATGGGAGACCAGGGGGAAAAGCCGTGTAAAAGTGGGAGACACAGCCGGGTGCTCAAGCCCGTAATCCCAGCTGAGATCTGAGGATCACAGTTCAAAGCCAGCCAGGGCAGGAAAGTCTGTGAGACTCTTATTTCCAAGGAGCCACCAGAAAACCAGAAGTGGTGCTGTGGCTAGAAGTGGTAGAGCGCTCGCCTTTAGTGAAAGAGCTCAGGGACAGCGCCCAGGCTGAGATCAAGTCCCACAACTGACCACTCCCAAAAAAAGTGGGAGATATGCAATGTGAGGAGGGCTTGGGTGGAGGGGCCCCGACATAGAGCACCCCACAGTGCATGGCTCAGCCTCCCCCCCATGTCCCCCAGGTGCCACCGGCTATTCCAAGCCACCCGGACTGCTGGGTCCTTACGGCCGCACCTTCCCAGAGTACCCCTGGAACTTTAACCCGTACCTCACGGGCCCCTTCCCCAAGCTGTCCCCCTCGCTCTACCCCCCTCACTTCTACCCCAACCCCCTGGGTTCCCTGGGCCACCTGCCCTCTGTGGGGGCAGGGGGGAGTCCCACGGCCGCACCCTTGCTGGCCGCCACAGGGGAGGGCCTGGGTCCCGAGCGCCCCTCAGGCCTGGCAGCGGCTCCTCGCCTGGCACTGCCTGGGGCCGGGGGCCCCGAGGCCACGCTGGGTGGGAAGGAGGACAGCGACTCGGAGCTGGAGATTACCGACGTGAGCGGCTGCAGCTCAGACAGCGAAGGTGATGAAGGCCTCCCGGTGCCCCCCAAAGCCGAGGTGGGCAAAGGGGGGGCTGGCAGCTGAGACCCGGGGGAGGCGATGGATTCGAGGAGGTGAGGACCACCCGTGCAACCTCTTCTGTCCAAGTCTGCCCCCAACACCAGCCCCAGGCGCAGGACCAGCCCTCGGCACCCTCCGTCTTCCCCAGCCCCGGAACACGATGGCCTCCGGCCTCCTCCCTAGGTTCCAGTTTGAGGGGGGTCCCCGCCTGGCCCCACTCTCCAAGTGCAATATGGCGCCCAGCCTCCTCCGTCCACCCTGTGCTGTGACCTGTGTGTTTGCGTGTCCCCATCTCCAGCCCCTTCCCACACAGGCCCCCCTGGGGACAGGGGGCTCAGAGCAATAACCCCGCCCCCAGCCCCTGCCCAGAGGGGCCCCCTCCCCACCAGCTCCCCCAACCCCGGCAGCCACCACCAGAGAGTTTATTACAAAAATAAAAGAGTGAGATGTGGGAGATGCCCAGAATTTCAGATGATTATGGGGGGTGGGGCGGGGGGGGGCAGAGGATGGGGAGGGCAGCATCTGGGAGTAATAATTCATGTTCAGCCATTCGGTCCCAGAAGGGGGCGCACTGACACACACACAGACCTTGGGTCCTTAGATAATATATATTAAAAATAAACCTCCAGGGTACCAAAAACAACCAAAAAAAAACAAAAACCCCACAAGAGTAAAGGCACTTGGTGGGGGGGTGGGAGGGTGTCCCCCAACAGGCAATACTGAGATGGCCCAGGAAAAGGGGAGGGGTCCCAGCGATGCCCCCCCCAAAGCAGAAACATGAGGAGAGAAGGCAGGGGAGGGGGAGGGGCAGGCACCCCGCAGGGGGGCAGCCCCCAGGCTGTGGCCTTGGTATCTTGGCTCCCTCTCCAGCCCTTGGGGTAGGAGATGCTGCAGTTGCTTTGGGATGGGGGGGCCCTCACGTCCTCTCCTTCCTTTCTCTCCTCTTGGCGGAAGGCCTGGGGGTGGAGAGAGGAGCAGACGAAGCAGGAGGCGGAGGGGGCAGAGGTGAGACGGAACAACAGACAGCCACTGTCCCCTCAAGGGGCAGCCGCCCAGCCCCCTCCACCCACTCACCTGCCAGGGCAGAGACCTCAAGTGCAGCTAGACTGGGGGACAGGGTTCCCCCCGAGTTGAGACAGGAGGGGCCGCAGGCGGCAGAGTTCCTCTTCTAACTCCTGGTCAGGGAGGAAGGTAAGGTTATGGGTAAGAGGGGGCGCTGTCTTCCCGCCTCAGCCATACCCAGGTCCACCACCAGTCACACCTCCAGCTGCTTTAGGGCTTCCTCTAAGCTGAGCAGGTGCTCCTGAACTTCCTGGGTCTGTGCAGGTCCCAGGGGACCACCGCCTGGCACCCCGTCCCCTTCTCCGGGAGGCCCCGCCCCACGGTCTTCCTCCGTAGGCAACAGGAGCTGCTTCAGGGCCAGCACTGGGGGGGGGGGGAGGGGAGCAGTTATGAGATGCAGTGCCCCGGGCTGGAGTTTAGAGGTTTAAAAAGGGGTGCAGGGGAGGCTGGAGATGGAAGGCATGGGGGGGTTGGGGGTGGGCAGAGGGCAGCTGCAGCACAAAGAGGAACTTGGGTGTAGATGGGGTAGAAACGTGGGTTTTCAAGTCTTGCTGGGCATCAGTGGCTCCTGCCTGTCATCCTAGCTAGTACTCAGGAGGCTGTGATCTGAAGATCAGGTTCAAAGCAAGTCAGGGCTTAAATACCAAAACCATGGAAATGTTGCTGTGGTTCAAATGGTAGAGCATCAGCCTTGAGTAGAAAAAGCTAAGGGGCAGTGCCCAGTCCTGAATTCAAGCCCCAGTACTGGCACACGCCTGTGTACACACACACGTGCGCGTGCGCACACACACACACACACACAGTGTGAACAGGGTCTGGGCATGTTTGGTGGTCCTGGAGGATGGGGATGATGCTACCTTTCTGGAGGGCTGTGACGGCGAGCTGGCCTTCGGCACCGGGTCTGCAGAAGGGCAGGAGGTCTCTGAGAGCTCTCTCAGTCTGGGCTGGTTGGGGAACAGAGAGGGTGCTCAGATCCTGGATGTTTCCCCCGTCAACCCAGAGCACCCCCGTACCCCTCCTGACTCACCCTCTGCTGGAGGCATGTCTCGGCCACCACCGTTGCCATTCTCGGAGCTGCTGAGCAGGGTTTCTCGGGTGCTAGAAGGAGGAAGTGCTAGGTGACCCCATGCCCCTGGTTCTGGGGGTTGGCAGGGGCGGGGGGTGTGTGGAGCTAGGAGACAGAGGCCCTGATGGGTCGGGCCCACAGGCACACTGAGCTTGGTTGCCATGGATACCCAGGGCCAGTCTCCAGGTGTCTGCCCCCTCACCTGCTTGGGCTGGGCCGGGGAGGCTTGAGTCGGTTAGCAGGGGCTGGGACTTTCAGGGATCCAGCAGTCTCTGTGATGAGGGCACACCAACTGGGGAGACAGGCCATGGGCTCAGGGCAGTCAGCTTCCTCCGCCCCCCCTCCCCACCAGCCAGGCAAGGACCTCCCACCCCATCTGCCCTTAAGGATCCCTCTTACTTTGTCCGCTCTGACACAGACTGTGCCACCAGCTCGTATATCTGGGCTTCCTGGTCCCAGGTGAAAATGACATAGAAGGCTTTGTGATCTGCAGGGGGAGAGGGAGATGGGGCTCACAGCCAGGAAGGCCCCTCCTACTCCCTGAGTGCCAGTCCCTGGGCACAGGCTAGAGGCTGGAAGGCCCCTGAGAGGCAGTGACGCAATGCACCCTCCCTGGGCCCCGTGTTCTCCCCCAGCCCCATGCTAACTGCTGCCCCCCCCCCCCCCACTCCTGTCCACAGCTGCAGGGCAACATTTTTCCTATGCCAGTCCTGGGGCTTGAACTCAGTGCCTGAGTACTGTCCTGAGAACTTCTTTTTTTTTTTTTTTGGGTCCGGTCGTGGGGCCTGAACTCTGGGCCTGGGCGCTGTCCCTCAGCTCTTCAGCTCAAGGCTAGCGCCTTGAGCCACAGCGCCACTTCCGGCTTTTTTCTTTTTGTTTATGTGGTTCTGAGGAATCGAACCCAGGGCCTCATGCATGCAAGGCAAGCGCTCTACCACTGAGCCACCTTCCCAGCCCCCTGAGAACTTTTTTACTCAAGGCTGGCACTCTATCCCTTGAGCCATGGCTTCTATTTCTGGCTTTTTTTTTTTTTTTTTTGATGGCCCATTGGAGATGAAGGTCTCATGGACTTTCCTGCCCAGGCTGGCTTTGAACTACACTCCTCAGATCTCAGCCTCCTGAGTAGCTAGGATGACAGGGCAGGAGCCACCAGCGCCTGGGCCAACTTCTTGGTCTCTGGGACCCTTTGGCTCCCTGCTTCCCCCGAGTGCCCATCCTGACCCTAGAGGGACCCCAGCCCTGCACAGGTGCACCGCCCCCTGCCAGCCTGCGGCACACTGACCAGTGGCCACCTCCCGGGTCATGGCGGAGGTGAGCCGCAGCACGGGCCGCAGCATGGTCTTGCCGTCGGGGGTGGGCGTCAGTGTCCGGCTGTGGGACTTGAGTAGCAGCCGCTCGTCCTGGCGCTGGAGCAGCAGCAGCAGGTCATCCAGCAGGAGCACGTGGACCTCTGTGGGGTGAGGCTGGTGGGTGCTCACGTCGTTCCCCACATCCCACTCACTGGCCTCCTGCCCTGGCCCGCCCCACCTGGGCACTCACCCACAGCCTTCTCCTTGGTCACCCGCCATGTTAGCGGGCCCTCATGGATCAGCTTTTTCTTGGTGATGTCCAGGTTCTGGGGCAGGAGGGAGCCATGGTCAGCAGAGGGGAGGGGAGGAGGGGAAAGGAGGGCAGCAGGCACCATAGGTGGGGGACAGACAGGAGTTTGGGGCCAGCAGCAGGGTGGAATCAGAGCCTCTTTCTGTCAGTAGCAACAGAACAGGCCATGGGGGGGCACCACAGAGCCCACCTTGAACTCGCTCAGCATGGGGTCGCTGCTCTGCCGAATGTGGGACAAATCTAGGCGCCGCTGGAAATCCTTGAGCCTCTGCCAGAAACAGGAGGGTCACAGAAACAAGTCAAGCATGGGGTACAACCTCAGTGACTCCCCAAAGAGGTCAAGAGCCAAGAGTAACTTGGCAGGACCCAGAGCTCAGCCTCCTGAGGAGCTAGGATGGCAGGAGGGAGCCAGCAGCGCCCGGCCCAGGCCCAGCTGCTGAGGCCCAGCTCACCAGCAGGTCCTCCATGTCACGAACAGCCTGGTTGACATGGTGGAGGATTTCTCGGCAGCACTTGGCGGCCAGCTCCACTTTCTCCCGCTCCGCCGGCTCCTCTGTGGGCAAGGGAGAGGCCAGCCTGGGTGAACCTCCACCCTCCATGGGAGGCCATGCTGGGGTAGGGAGTGGGGGGGCAGTGTCAGGCCAGTACCTGTGTTCTGCCCGATGCTCTGCAGCAGCAGGGGGTACTTGGTCAGCCGCTGCATCTCTGTGGGGATCATGTCCTTCAGCTGCAGGCGGCGGCAGCGTGGGCGGCTTTCTGCCTCCTGAGGGGACAGCAGTGTTGGGCGCCCAAGGCCAGGACTTCAGCCCCTCTGTCCCCCAGGATCCAAGACCCCAGCTTTAGGCCCTCCACCCTCACAAGTCCAGGCCCCAGTTCTCCTCCCTCAGACCCAGAAATCTAGATCCCAGTCTTCCTCTCTCAGACCCAGGGGTCCAGGCCTAGCCTCTTCCCTCAGACCCAGGGAATCCTGGCCCAAGCCCCTTTCCCTTAGACTCAGGGGGTCCAGCCCCCAACCTCCTTCCCCAGACCCAGCATCCTCCCTCAGACCCAAGGGTCCAGACCCCAGCCATCCTCCCGAGGACTCCAAAACCTGCTCCTGCCTCCTCACCTGCACAAAGGCGGAGAATCGAGGCTCCTTGCGCTGTTTGGCTTTGAGCTGCTCCAAGGCAAATGACTGTCGGCTGCAGAAGCGGGAGGAGATCTTCTGGAACCATGAGCCCTCGGCACCATCAAACTAGAGAGAGTCAAGCCAGGCAAGGTCTCAGGTGGGATTAGCAGGAACATTGCCTCAAACAGAGATGGAAGCCTCAACTAGGCCAGGCCTGGCGCACCCCTGCCTGGGAGGGGGAGGGGGGCTGGGCAGCGTGGGGCATCCTCACCCGGGCCAGCAGCACGTCTCCGATCTCCTCGATGAGGTAGCCACTCTCCTGTCTCCGTTTCATCAGGCGATCCAGGAACAAAGCTGGGGGAGGGGTTTAAGGAAAAGGGATGTGTGGTGGGGGCCCGAGAGGATTGTCTGAACCTGGCTGCAGGCATCGGTCTGCTCCTTAGGGACAATGAGCACATGGGGACAGGAATGGGAGGTCCCTGGAACAGAGGCTGCTGAGCTTTGGGTCTAGGGAGGCATAAAGGAGGGAGCTGACCAGAGGCTGGTGACTCACATCTGTAATCCTAATTATTCAGGAGGCTGAGATCTGAGGATCCAGGTTTGAAGCCAGGCTAGGCAGGAAAGTCTATGAGACTCTTACCTCCACTAAACTACTAGTAGAGCTGTGGCTCAAGTGAAAGCACTAGCTGTGAGTGAAAAAGGTCTGGGACAACACCCAGGCCCTGAGTTCAAGCCCTATGACTGACACACACACACAAAAAGGAGGGAGCTGGAGGGACTCAGCCCAGTACTCACAGTGCACCTCGATGAGCTCATCCAGGCTGGGGAAGATGTTCTGTAGCTCCTCCAGGGGGAAGAAGCCCCCATCCGCCATGGGCTGGTAGAAGAGATCGTGTAGCACACGCAGCATGCGCACATGGGCAGCCTCCGTCACCAGCAGCTCTGTGGGAAGCCCCAAAGCAGGAAGCTGGGGAGGGTGCCAGATCTGGGGGGGACTGTCTCTGGTACACTGGGGGAGGGACAGGGCCAGAGGGGTGCTTCCTACTGGGGGGACATTCTGAGTCATTCACCTTCCTAAATATCCTCTGATAAGCCAGGGCACTAGGAACTCACACCTGTCATTTTAGCAACTAAGGAGGCTGAGATCTGAGGATCAAGGTTCTAAGCCAGCCAGGGCAGAAAAAGTCTGTGAGACTCTTATCTCCAATTAACCAGAAGTAGCACTGTGGCTCAAGTGATAGAGTGCTAGCACTGAGCAAAAAACAAGCAAACAAAAAAAGCTCATGGGTGGGCTGGGAAGGTGGCTCAGTAGTAGAGTGCTTGCCTCGCATGCATGAAGGGCCTGGGTTCGATTCCTTAGCACCACATAAGCAGAAAAAAGCCAGATGTGATGCTGTGGCTCAAGTGGTAGGGCATTACCTTTGAGCTGAAGAGCTGAGGGACAGCGCCCAGGCCAGAGTTCAAACCCCAGGACTGGTGCACACACATGCATGTGTGTACACAACTACACACATGTACACATGTGTAGAAACACACACACACACACACACACACACACACACACACACACACACGACTTTAAGGATTCCCTGAGCCACCACCCTTTCTCTTGTGCTGGGACTGTCTGCAGGGGATAAAACCTGGAAATCCCCATGTAAACTGGGAGCAGATGACTCCATTGCCAGCAAACTATATCTAACCATCCAGACATCTTCACAGCCTTGCTTTCTGGTTTTTGTTATTGGTGCGTGTTTGTTTGTTTTTTGGTGCTGGTCCTGGGGCTTGAACCCAGGGTTGGGGCTCTGTCCCTGAACTTTTTTGGTCTAGGCAAGCACGCTACCACTTGAGCACAGCTCTACTTCCAGATGTTTTGGGGCTTAACTGGAAATTGAGAGTGTCAGGATTGGGCTGGGAAGGTGGCTCAGTGGTAGAGCGCTTGCCTCGCATGCATGAGGCCCTGGGTTCAATTTTTCAGCACCACATAAGCAGGAAAAGCCGGAAGTGGTGCTGTGGCTCAAGAAGTAGAGGGCTAACCTTGAGCTGAAGAGCTGAGGGACAGTGCCCAGGCCCAGAGTTCAGGCCCACAACCGACAAAAAAAAAAAAAGTCTCAGGATCTGTCTGTTTGGGCTGGCTCTGAACTGCAATCCTCAGATCTCAAGCCTCCTGAGTAGCTAGGATTATAGGAATGAGCCACCTGTGCCTGGCTGGTTTTTGTTGTTGTTTTGGGTCAGGTCGTGGGGCCTGAACTCTGGGCCTGGGCGCTGTCCCTCAGCTCTTCAGCTCAAGGTTAGTGCTCTACCACTTGAGCCACAGGGCCATTCCCAGCTTTTTTCTTTTTTGCTTATGTGGTGCTGAGGAATTGAACCCAGGGTCTCATGAATGCAAGGCAAGCGCTCTACCACTGAGCAACCTTCCCAGCCCCTATTTTTTTGTTGGTCGTGGGGCTTGAACCCTGGACCTAGGTGCTGTATCTCAGCTCTTCAGCTCAAGGCTAGTGTTCTACCACTTGAACCACAGCACCATTTTTGGTTTTCTAGTGGTTAGAGATAAAGAGTCTCATGGGCTTTCCTGCCCAGGCTAGATTCGAACCAGGATCCTCAGATCTCAGGTTCCTGAGTAGCCAAGAGCAAAGAGAGGCTCAGACAGTGGCCAGGTCCTGAGTTCAAGCTTAGCAACTGAGGAAAAAAAAGTCTCACCAAGCAGTTAGCAAAATCAAGATGGAAACAATACACTATTATTTTTCTACTCAGAAGCAAGCACTGCTAATGTATTCATTTATTTTCCCCAACTGCTCCCTATGGGAACCCTTTTTCCCCTAAGCCATTAAGATCATACTAACTAAAAAGGCTGGGTGCAGTGGCTCATGCCTGTAATCTCAGCTACTAGAGAGGGAGAAACTGTGAAGCCTACAATTTGTGGTGAGCCAGGGTACAAAGTTGGAAAGACAACAAAAGATAGACATGGTAGTGTGAAGCTAGAGTGCCAGCCACTTGGGAGGCACAGGTTGGAGGAGCTAGGTCTATGGCCACAGGCCAAAACAAGAGACCTTTATCTGAACAGTAACCTAAGCAATAAAGTGCTGGAGATTTGGCTAAGTGGTAGAATGCCTGCCTAGCCAAGCTCAAGGTCCTGAGTTTAAACCTTAGTCCCATGAGAAAAAAAGTCATACCCTAAACAAGAATCAGAACATTAAAATTTCCTTCCCTTGTGCCAGAACGACCCTGAACATTACATAGGAGTTCACTCACCTCCAAGAGTTCTGTTATTTTTTATTTTCCTGGTACTAGGGATTGAGCTCAGACATAGACGCACACAGACACACAGATACACAGACACAGACACACAGACACATACTAGGTAAGCCCTCTACCACTTGAGCCACAACCTCAGACCTTTTACTTTTTATTTTTATTTTTGTTGGTCCTGGGGCTTGAGTTCAAGGACTGGGAACTGTCTCTGAGCCTTTTTGCTCAAGGCTAGTGCTCTACCACTTTAAGCTATAGCTCCACTTCCGGTTTTCTAGTGGTTTATTGGAGATATGAGTCTCACAAACTTTCCTGCCTGGGCTGGTTTTTTTTGGGTCGGTCATGGGGTTTGAACTCTGGGCCTGGGCGCTGTCCCTCAGCTCTTTAGCTCAAGGCGAGCGCTCTACCACTTGAGCTACAGCGCCACTTCCGGTTTTCTGGTGGTTTATTAGAGATAGGAGTCTCACGGTCCCCTGCCTGGGCTGGCTTTGAATCCTCAGATCTCAGCCTCCTAAGTAGCTAGGATTACAGGCGTGAGCCACCAGCGCCCGGCTCTGGGCTGGTTTTGAACTGAAATCCTCAGATCTCAGACTCTTAAGTAGTTAGAATTATAGTTGTAAACCACTGGCACTGGTCTTACTTTCTCAGGATGATTTCAGAGTAACTTTGTCAGAGCTGGCCTCAAATCTCTATCCTCAAGTCTCCCAAGTAGCCTGAATGGGTCATGTTAGCTGTTGTACTGTTGTTCCTCCCTCTGAGGGGGCTACTGTGGGGTTCACCTGTCTCAAGCTCTCCCCATGGTAACAAACACGGAGGTGGACGCCTCCCCGTGCCTGTCCATGGCCAGAGTGGGGTGGATGGGGCCCCACACTCACCACTGATCACTTCCTGCCGCTTCACCTGGCTCTTGGGAAGGTTCATCAGGGTGTCCTGGGGGACCAGCTCCCGCCACCCAGGGGGTTCTTCTGGCTCCAGCTCCAGTCCTGACCGTCCTGGCTCCCCATCATCTCCAGGCTCAGGGCTGTGGACAGAGGCCTTCGTTGGTACCCTTTGTTTGGTGGTACCCCAGGGAGAAGCCTTCAACTCCTTAAGTGTCCAACTCCTCTGTGGTCTTGGCATTGGGCCCCTAGAGTGGTCTAACCCCACACCCCTCTCTCCCAAGGCCTAGGACAGGGGTTCTGTGGCCTCGGCCACTGGCTGCCCAGTTCTCTGCTGCTCTGGGAGCCCTCCCCTCCCTGACTCTCCAGACGGCCTGTGTGGACAGGGAGTAACGTACGTGGCTTGTCGGGTGGGGCCAAGCACGGCTGTGGCAGAGCTGGGGTCCATGTCCACGTCGCTCCGGGAGCGGCCCCCACCCCGGCCCTTAGCCCCGAGGCTGCCCCGGGAAGGCCGGCGGCGGTCACTCACCCGCAGGCTCTCTGAGCGCCCCAGACGCCCTGGCAGCCTGCACCCCAAGGCCAAGGACAGTCAGGCAGAGGCCGGAACAGAGACAAGGAGAGACCAGGACAGGGAGACAGGACAGGGACAGGACAGGGACAGGGAGTCAGGACAGGGACAGGGACAGGACAGACAGGGCAGTGACAGGATAGACAGGACAGGGACAAGGAGACAGGACAGGACAGGGACAGGGAAAGACCAGGACAGGGACAGGGAGACAGGACAGGAACCAACATGCAACAGAAGAGAATTGTCAGGAATAGTAGGATTTGTGGGCTGCTGGGGTGGGGGGTGGGGGGGAAGGGGAGGTGGCCAAGAGGGTGGAGGGACCCCTCCCTCCCTGAGGTGGGGACATGGAGAAAGAGGGAAGGATTTCCATACTTAGCTCTTCAACTGGGAGGGTGATGTCCCCACCCACCCCTCATGGGGGGGGGGGTGGAGGGGGTGGAGTGGCCATGGGGGGGAAGGGAGGGGCTGGGAGAAGCAGGGGAGGGCTGGCCCTCCCCCACCCAGGGCCCAGGCACCCACCTCTTCCACCTTCTGGGGAGAGAGGGTACAGGGTCAGAGGTGGACCCAATGGAACCCAGCTCGCCTCCCCACACCCCCCTCAAAGGGTCCCCAAAGCAGCAGCACGAGGACAGGCAGGGGGCAGAACCTGTCCCCCAACTCTGAGGGGGACAGGGCCCCCGGGAAGGGAGCAGGGAGCACGGGGTGGGGGGGGATGGGGGGGGGGGTGGGGGCCCCAGGAGCAGGGGAAGAGCCAGGTGGGTGGAGCTTAAAGAGGGCGGGGCTTAAAGAGGAAGGATAGAAAATGGAAGGGGTGGGCAAGGCAGATAGTTTGGAGTGGAGGAAGAGGAAGGGAGGGTGTAGAAGGAAAGTTGGCCAGAAAGGAGGCAGAGGAACAGGAGATACAGAGGAAAGAGAAGAGGAGGAGGAGGATCCGCAAACGAGGAAGAAGAAGGAAGAAAGAAGGAAAGTGAAAGGACTGAAGACCGATACAGAACAAAGGCAGGAGGGAGCTAGCAGTGAGGGCATGGCTGGGAACAGGCAGGTGCAAATGGCGGCTGCAACCCCCACATACCCTCCCAGCCCCCAGCAGCTGTCCCTGCTCAGCCCTGGCCCTCCTGAGACCCCACCCAGGTACCTCTCTGTCTCAGCACCGTCCTCTGGGTTTTCTGGGGGTGCTAGGGGCTCCAGACTTGTAGGGCCTTGTGAAGGAGTGTCTCCCGGCTCCAGGGAGGTATCAGAACCTGTAGGTGAGGCCGGAGTGAGGCACAATACAAAGTCCATGGAGCGCCATACCATTGGCTCACCACTGTCATCCTAGCTGCTGAGGAGGCTGAGATCTGAGGATGGAGGTTCATAGCCAGCCTGGGCAGGAGTCTATGAGACTCTTTATCGCCGATTAAGCACCAAAACAGCTGGAAGTGGAACTGAGGCTTAATGTGGCTTAAGTGGAAAAGTGCTAGTCTTGAGCAAAAAAAGCTCAGGGACAGCACTCAGGCCCTCAGTTCATGCCCCAGAACCTGCGTGTGCACGCGCGCGCACACACGTGCGCACAGACAGACAGACACACAAACACACAAAGATAAGTATACTAAGGAATGAGTTAAGATTTAAATATTGAACTCAAGCTGGGCAAGCAGCTATCAGGGACGTAAGGAGCAGAAGGCTATGCAGCCCTGAGAAATAGTTACTTGGAGGGGGCACTGCTCTCTACTCAGCTTCTGGAAATGAAGCCCTGGGGGTGACAGGGAAGACAGTAAAAAGAAGGGGGAGACATAGCACTGGGAGAGAGGCCAGAGCCCTGAGAGAAAGAAGCAGAAAGGGTAAACTGAGGCAGCCATTAACAACACTGGTAACCAGGTGCAGATGGTAAGAAGGAGGGAGGTGGGGAGGTGTCATAGTGAGCCAAGTCTTTTACCCCAAGAGGTGTCCCTGGGGCTAGTGGCACTCACCCTGCAGCCCCACGCTGCCCCTCCCCCCTCCCCCCCCCCCCACTCCAGCCCCTGAACCTCTCACCTGCTTCCCGATATGGGCTGTCCACAGGCAGAGGGCTCAGGGAGACTCCAGAGGGGTCCTGACTAGGAGCCCCAATAGTCCTGTCCCGAGAAGGCACGCCAAGGCTTCCCTTGCGGTCTACAGGGCCTGGCTTTTCCCCTGGAGAGACAGTGAGAAGGAGGGGAAATGGAAGAGCAGCTGTCTCCATACCAACCACTGAGGCCCAGGACATCAGCCTCTGTCTCTTAAGGCCCCAGAGACCCAGTAAGGTACCCGCTCCCCACCCCCCTGCTCTAAGATCCAGGGGTTCAGGCCCCAGCCCTCCTCCCTCAGACCCAGGGATAAAGATCCCAGCCCTCCCTACTCAAACACACAGGCTCAGGCCCCAGCCTCCCCTCCATCAGACCCAGGAGTCCAGCTCCAGCCTTCCTCCTTCAGACACAAGGGTCTTAACTCCATCTCCTCCCTTAAGGTCCAGAAACAACCCTCCCAATGCACTGAATCCTCTTCCCTCAGACCCCACCACCTCCTCTTTCAGACCCAGAGGTCCAGATCCCAGGCCCCTCCCTCAGACACAGGGTCCAGCCCCCACCCCTCCTCCTTCAGGTCTCAGGATAGACGCTCTGCTACAACAAGTTCATTACCATCAACCTCGCCTTTGAGGTGTCGAAAGTCTGGAGCTGAAATGAGAGAGGGGGACATGAGGTGCGGACGGCCTGAGGAAGACACGGCAGGCAGGGCTATGGCCCTGGCCCCCTCCATACCTGGAGGCTCGCCCCGGTTCCATCGAGCAGCATCCAGGATACTGCTCAGCCCTTTCTTGGTCTTGGGGGGCTCATCTGACCGCCGGTTCCCCATCACCTACAGGAGGATGGGGGCCAGGGAAGGAGGGGTGAACATTCCTAAGATGACACAAAGCAGAACCAAACCTCAAGTGTCCAGTCTTGAGGCTCCCCTGGGTGTGGGGGAGGGGGAGGCCCCCGAAGAGGAAAAGGCCAGGTTTGGCCTCAGCACCTTTTTCCGGAAGAAATTACGCCCCGATTTCTTATCCCCACTCTTGGTCCGCACTCCGAGATAGCGCATGTACAGGCTGATGGCGGCGACCACAGCGGCACTGTGGGGAGGAGGTGATGAGGACCCCAATGCACACAGACCCCCATCGGGAGTACCTGACTACCCCAGAGGCTGAGGTGGGCCTCCCTTCCCAATTCCCACAGCACTTCCTGTGAGGCAGAGGAAGCAGAGCCAGGGAGCTCCTCAGGCCCAGACCAACCACCTCGCCTGCCCTCTTCTGCCCGGTCACCTCTTTTCCTCGTCTGTGGAGATGGTGTGTCTGTGGGGGAGAAGAAAAACATCTGACAACGTTGTGAAGGGACCAGTGGCTCACTCCTGTCATCCCAGCTACTTAGGAGGCTGAGATCTGAGAATCACTGTAACCCAGCCCAGGGCAGGGAAAGTCTATGAGACTCATCTCCAATGAACCACCAAAAAGCTACAAGTGGAACTGTGGACCAAGTAGTAGAGTGCTAGTCTTGAGTGAAAAAGCTCAGAGACAGCACCCAGGTCCTGAGTTCAAGCTCCAGCCCAAGCACAAAAAAAAAATAAAAGGGAGGCAGTGGGGAATGAAAGAAAATGACAAGAGGCTGGGAAGGTGGCTCAGTGGTAGAGCGCTTGCCTCGCATGCATGAGGCCCTGGGTTCGATTCCTCAGCACCACATAAGCAGAAAAAGCCAGAAGTAGCGCTGTGGCTCAAGTGGTAGGGTGCTAGCCTTGAGCTGAAGAGATGAGAGACAGCGCCCAAGCCTACAATCCTAGCTACTCAGGAGGCTAAGGATCATAGTTCAAAGCCAGCCTGGGCAAGGAAAGTCTGTGGGACTTTTTTTTTTTTGGGGGGGGGGGAGCCGGTCGTGGGTCCTGAACTCTGGGCCTGGGTGCTGTCCCTCAGCTCTTCAGCTTAAGGTTAGCACACTACCACTTGAGCCATAGCACCACTTCTGGCTTCTTTTTTTTTCTGCTTATGTGGTGCTGAGGAATCGAACCCAGGGCCTTATACATGCAAGGCAAGCGCTCTACCACTGAGCCACCTTCCCAGCCCTCTGTGGGACTCTTATCTCCAATAAACTACCAGAAAACCAGAAGTGGCGCTGTGACTTAAGCAGTAGAGAGCTTGCCTTGAGCTGAAAAGCTGAGGGATAGTGCCTAAGCACAGAGTTCAAGCCCCACGACCGATTAAAAAAAATGGCAGGGTAGGCTTGAGCCCCAGGACTCCAATACGAACCCTGATGTGAATGAGAGCTGGTGGATGCCAAGGGTGGCACAGCCTGGTCCCCACTTACTGCATCTCCTCCAGGTGGGCCAGCAGCCTCTCAGCCACATGCCGCTCGCGGGCCTCATAGCTGGCTCGGTCCCGGCCCACCCAGGGCTCCAGTTGGGCCAGCTCCTGCTCCCAGGGCGTCATGCCCATGAGCCGCTTGGAGCGGAAGTCTTCCAGCTGCCGGCTCACAGCCGCCTGCTGACTCTGGACCACCTCCTGCACAAAGCGTCGCTGGATGTCCTCGGAGATGAGGTCGAGTCGAGTGCGGTCTGCAGGGACACATTTAGGGGCTGGGGACCACATTTCCGAGGCCCTGGCTCCTGACAGCCAAGCTTCCTTGGGCTGTCACCACTATGCAGGAATGAATGAATGAGTGAATGAATGAATGAAGGTGATTCCTTGGCCCAACCAGCCAGAGACCCTCCCTCATCCCTAAGGCTCCTCCTTACCAAGCTCAAAGGTGACGTTGGGAGGAACTGGGACCCGCAGGACCTGCTCGAGGGAGACTGGAGTGAGGTGGGAGGAGGGAAGGCCCTGGGGGGGGGGGGGGGCCACAGGATTGTGGGCCAGGATGCTTAGTGGGCAGAAATAGGGCCCAGATGGGTGTGTTCTTCAGTGGGTGGAGCTTGGGGGATGCACAAAGGGGTCTCTAGGAAGGACCAAGCAGGGGCCAGGGTCAAGGGTCAGGGCAGCAGGTGTCTCACCGAGGTCTTCTCCAGGAAGCTATGGGAAAAGTCGAGGAAGGCCTTCTTGGCCTCTTTGGGGCCCAGAGAACCCAGCATGTCGGCATGCAGGCAGCAGAGCTGGGAGAAGATACAGAGCATGGTTCTATTCCTTCCTGGCTCCCCAGCTCCCCCAGCAAAGCCACACTAGGGCTATGGGGGTCAAATGTCACCTCCTTTGAGAAACACTCCCTGATTTCTACCCTGACTGCCCGAGGCCCTTATCTTCCTTGCAGCCTCCGGGTAGGGGGAGAGAGGAGGAGAGGTGGCACACCAGGAATATCTTTGTTCTTGTTGTTTTGTTTTGCCAGTCCAGGGGTTTGAAACTCAGGGCCTGGGCACTGTCCCTGAGCTGCTTTTGTTCAAGGCTAGCGCTCTACCACTTGAGCCACAGCGCCACTTCCAGCCTTTTCTGTCTATGTGGTACTGAGGACTCGAACCCTACCTAGGGTTTCATGCATGCTAGGCAAGCACTCTACCACTAAGCCACCTTCCCAGCCAATATTTTTGATTCTATGTGGCTCCCCATGGTCTTGTTTCCTCATGATGTGGTTAATGTGGAGGTTAAAGTCTCATGGACTTTCTTGCTCATGCTGACTTGGAACCTAGAGCCTCAAGTTCTCAGCCTTCTGAGTAGCTAGAATTACAGGCGTGGGCCACTGGTACCCTGGTTAGGAAGGTTCCCTGGTTCTGTCAGGATCGAGACCTACAATGGCTCATAGCCTTTTCGAGAACATCCACCCTGAACACCTGTCTGGTGACAACCCCTGGGGAGACCAGCCTGATATCCATCCCTCCAGAGCGCCCAGGAGGAGCTGTGTCTCTTATGGGAGGCTGATGCTGCCACAGGCCCAAAAGGAGAACAGGACGTGGTTTCTGCCAGGCCGCTGTGTGCACAGCCTACTCTGAGCATGCTCTGCACTTGCTACTTGTTCAGGATTCCATGGAGCTCCCACACCACAGCCGGTGTAGAGACCCCGTCCGGCCTTGCCCTATGACCTTTGCGTTCTGGATCTGGATCTCCACGCCCTCCAGGCTGATCAGCATCCAGGCCGATCAGTATCAGTGTAGCTCACTGAGTGCCTGCCTGCCCCAGCCTTCCCCCTTCTCCCTTCCTGGGCATCCTTACCAAGGGTCCTGGCTCAAACTGCAGAGCCACATGCTGCAGGAGGGCCATGAGGTGGGCTGGACGCCGCTTCACCTGCTCCAGGCTCTGGAACTGGCTGTTTTGCTCCTCTGAGTTCTGGTCATGGGGACAGGGAGGTTGAGTGCGGGACGGGGGGGGGGGGGGGGGGTGTTGCAGGGGAGCTTGGGCTTGTCCTCCAATGGAGCTATGATGGGGTAGAAAGTAGGGTGGGGAGCTGTGTCTGTGCTGTTAAGGTGACAGTAAGGGCAGCTGGGTAAATGGACGTGATCAGATGCTGCTCTGCAGAGAGAAGGGATGGCATCTCATGCAGGGAAGGCAGTGATAAGCTGGGGCTACAAGAAGTAGGGTACAGAGCTGGGTGCTGGTGGCTCATACCTAATACCCTAGCTACTAAGGAGGCTGAGATCTGAGGATCACAGTTCAAAGCCAACCCCAGGCAGGAAAATCCATGAGACTCTTTAATTGCCAATTAACCACTAGAAAACTGGAAATGGGGCTGTGGTTCAAAGTGGTAAAGCACTAGCCTTGGGCAAAAATGATCAGGGACCATGCCCAGGCCCGGAGTTTAGGCCCCACAACTGACAAAGAAGAAGAGGAGTAGAAGCGAGGCACCAGTGGCTTGCACCTGTCATCCTAGCTACTCAGGAGGCTGAGATCTGAGGATCACGGTTCAAAGCCAGCCCAGGCAGGAAAAATACATGACTCTTATCTCTAATTAACTACCCCACACATACCACGCCCAAGAAAAAAAGCTGAAAGTGGAGCTGTGACTCAAGGTTGAACACTAGACTAGAGGTGAAAGGTGGAGAGAGACAGAAGATGGGCAGAGATGAAGAACGGAAGAAGGACGCCCACTAAGGACCGCACAGAAGCATATGCACCCTAGCTTCTGCTCACCGCCTCCAGCTCGTTCTCAAAATCCTCATCCTCCGCTCCGATAATGCTGATGGGCACTAGGCCAGGTCTTGGAGGCCCTGGGGCCTGAGGAAGAGGAGAGACAGCTTCAGGCTACAGGGCTCCTCGCCTCGCAGCTGCCAACCCTCTCCACCCCCCCCCCCCCCCATCCTGGCTGAGTCCAGCTCTACACTCACCGCCCCTCGGGCCACGTCTTCCATCTCCAGGGCTCTGCAGGGCTGGGGAGAGGAGGGGCTGCGGTTAGGGGTGGAGTGGGGTGGGAGGGGAGGTTACTCACAGATTCCTGGCCCAGGTGTGAAGGTGAGTAAACAGCCACCCCCCCACCCGGCCTACCCAGCTCAATGGGGCCTCTGTGTGGCCACAAAGAGCCCTTCACAGGCCAGCCAGGGGGCGGGGAGCCCAAGGAAGGGCGCTTGGGGGATGTGGGGGAGAAAAGGCTGCAGGCCCTGAAACCCAGGGTTCCTGGCCCTGGGGGGGGGGCTGGTGGGGAAAGCAGGCAATTTGGGTCTCTAAAAGAGAGAGGGCCAAGGGAGGTAAAGGCTGGTCCCAAGGGGTTGAGGCCTTGAGGAAGGTGGAGCTGAGTTAGTTCCGGGGAAGGTAGGAAGGAGAGGCCTGAGGTGTGGGGAGCTCTCTGGTCTGTGACAGGCTTAGGCCAGGATGTTGCCTCTGAACCCACCAGCCCTACTTCCTGTGACAGGAAGTCACAAAGGCGAACCCCCAACCTCCAACTCTTTCACACAAAAGAAAACAAAACTGTGAACCCTTTTCCCTCAGGAACCTGGGGCCTCACTCTACACTCTTCTAGTTCTCCTATCATTCCCAGCTTCTTAGGCTTCTGGTCCCAGAAAAATCAGGGCAGGGTCAGGCCCAGTGGCTCACACCATTAATCCTAACCTAGTTCAGGAGGCTGAGATGTGAGGATCAAGGTTCAAAGCCAGCCCTGACAGGAAATTCCATTTCTTTCTTTTTTTTTTTTTGGGTGGGGGGCGATCGTGGGGCTTGAACTCTAGGCTTGGGTGCTGTCCCTGTGCTTTTCAGCTCAAGGCAAGCACTCTACCGCTTGAGCCACAACGCCACTTCCAGTTTTCTAGTGGCTTATTGGAGATAAGAGTCCCATGGACTTTCCTGCCCAGGCTGGCTTTGAACTGTGATCCTCAGATCTCAGCCTTCTGAGTAGTTAGGATTACAGGCATGAGCCCAGCTCCATGAGATTTTTATTAAACATCCACTAAGTGGTAGAGCTAGCCTTGTGTGAAAAAGCTCAGGAATAGCACCCAGGCCGGGATATCAAGCCCAATTGACAGAAAATTTTAAAAAAAGGAAAAGAAAAAGAAAAAAAACAAAGAAGGTCAGTTTCAACTCATTGTTGATATTTAAATGTAAAATTATTAAAGCCTGGTACCAGTGGCTCAAACCAGTAGTCCTATCTATTCAGGAGGTTGAGGTCTGAGAATTGAGATTCCGGAGACTCCAATTAGCCACCAAAAAGCTCTAGTGGAGCTGTGGCTCAAGTGGTACAGCACCAGCCTCAAGGGGGAGAAGGCTAAGGGACAATGGCTAGGCCAAGTTCAACCCTCAGTATTTGCCCAAAAAAAAAACCAAAACAGAGAGGGTCTTGAACAGCCCATCCTCAGGTATTTGTATCTTTTTTTTTTTTGGGTCCGGTTGTGGGGCCTGAACTCTGGGCCTGGGCGCTGTCCCTCAGCTCTTCAGCTCAAGGCTAGCGCTCTACCACTTGAGCCACAGCATCACTTCCGGTTTTTTTCTTATGTGGCACTGAGGAATCGAACCCAGGGCCTCAGGCATGCAAGGCAAGCGCTCTACCACTGAGCCACCTTCCCAGCCCAGGCACTTGTATCTTCTTCCTCTCCCTGCTCCCTTCCTTCCCCTGCTCTCCTCCCTCCCTTCCCACTCTTCCCATGCTAGTTTCTCTGGATCTAGCTCTGGATCTCAAGCTGACTCTTCCCATCCTTTCCCCGAGTTCTTGTTGCCTTTCTCGGTCTCCCTTCCCGTGTCCACACTCTTCTCAGAACCTTTCCAGCAAAGTCTTCTGTGGACCATTGGGGGAGGGACAGCATCTCACACCCCAAAGCTATTTATAACCCTCCCTGCCTGAGCCAGCTTTCTCTTCTATAGGGCCCCTCCCTAGCACTCAATAAGTGGGAGGTATAATTTGATGCCAATTACTAAACAATGATGCCTTCTCCAATGTCCAAATACCATCCCAAGGGTCCACCTGCCCAGGCATCCAATTTATTCTTTTCCATAATGTGTAGCTGTCCACCATCCAAGCCTGACTAATTTCAAGATTTTGAGCATTGTCAAATGATTATGTAGCTGGGCACCAGTGGCTCATGCCTACAATCTTAGCTACTCAGGAGGTTGCAATCTCAGGATGGCAGTCAGTTCGAGGCCAGACTGAGCAAGAAAATCAGTGAGACTCTTATCTCCAATGAACCACCAGAAAACTAGAAGTGGCACTGTGGCTTAGTGGTAGAGCACTAGCCTTGAGCAAAAGGAGCTCAAGGATAGTACTGAGAAACCTAAGTTCAAGCCCCAAAACGGACAAAAAAAAAATTACATAAATAAAATTGCATCTGGGTGCTTGCGGTTCATTCCTGTAATCCTAGTTACTGAGGAGACTGAGATATGAGAATTCTGGTTCCCAGCCAGCCCAGGAAGGAAAATCCATGAGACTCTTATCTTCAATTCAATACCAAAAAGGCAGAAGTAGAGCTTGGCACTGGTGGCTGCCACCTATAATCCTAGTTATTCAGGAGGCTGAACTCTGAGGATCTTGGTTCAAAGCCAGGCGGGACAGAAAAAAAGAGCCGGGCGCCAGTGGCTCACGCCTGTAATCCTAGCAACTCAGGAAACTAAGATCTGAGGATGGCAGTTCAAAGAAAGACCAGGAAACTCTTTTATCTCCAATAAACCATCAGAAAACCAGAAGTGATGCTGTGGCTCAAGTGGTAGAGTGCTTGCCTAGAGCTGAAGAGCTCAGGAACAGTGCCCAGGCTCAGAGTTCAAGCCCCATGACCAACACCAACAAAATAATAATAATAATAGAAAGGAGGAGGAGGAAGAGAAGAAGGAGGAGAAGGAGAAGAGGAAGAGGAAGAAGAGGAAGGAGGGGAAAAAGTGGAGGAAAAGGAAGAGGAAAAGAGGAGGAGGAGGAGGAGGAGAGAAGGAAGAGGAAGAAGAAATAAGTGCTATTGCCAGATGCTGGTGGCTCATATCTATAATCCTACCTACTCAGGAGGCTGAGATCTGAGGATCATGGTTTGAAGCCAGCCCAGGCAGGCAAGTCTGAGACTTTTATCTCCAATTAGCCACCAGAAAATTGGAAGTAGTGCTAGTGGTAGAGCGCTAGCCTTGAGCAAAAGAGCTCAGGGGCAGCACCCAAGCCCTGAGCTCAAGCCCCATGACTGACAAAAAAAATTTTTTTTTAAAAAGAGCTATCACTTTACATGCACTTGGTATGACATGCACTCAGGATGTGACAAAAACAGCACTATTACCTTAAAGGTTTTAAGTAATTTCATTTTCTCAATGACCTCATGAAGTCAACATTACTTTTTTTTCGGGGGGGGGGGGGGGGAGGGGAGGATGGAGATTTGAACTCAGGGCCTCATGCTTGCTAGGAAGGATTCCATTTATAGTCTATACCTCCAACTCTTTTGCTTTCATTATTTTTCAGGTAAAGTCTTGAGTTTGTGTACAGGTAGGCCTCAGATAGCAATCCTCCTTTCTGTCCCTCCCATACAACTAGGATTGTTGAAATGAGATCTTGCTAACCTTTTTGCTGGCCTGGCCTTGATCCTTCCAATCTTGGCCTCCCAGGTAATTAAGATTATAACTGTGTGTACCATCATGCCCAGCTCCTGACTTGGATTTGCTTTGTTTGGGAGGACTACTATCATTCCTATCCCTAATTTACAAAGAAGAAACTGAGACAGAGGTCATAAGGTATAGGATTTAAAGACCAAGTAGTCTGGCTCCAGAGTTGATCACATTACACACACACACACACACACACACACACACACACACACACACACACACACACACACACACACACACACACACACACACACACACACACACACACACACACACACACACTCCACCTTTAGGAAGCTAAAATCTCAGTACTTCAATCAAAGGTCTGAGATATATTAGGTCTGCTGTGTCTGGGAAGGACAGGGAGGGGCATGTGGACAGTGTGGCCTGGACAGGAGTACAGACTGGAGCAAGCAGCTCCACAAAGGGAGCCAGGTGCTGGTGACTTTGGCCTGTTATCCTCACTACTCAGGAAGTTGAGATCTGAGGATCAAGGTTCAAAGCCAGCCCTGGTGGAAATCTGTGAGGCGCTTATCTCCAATGAATCACCAGAAAACCAGAAGTGGCACTGGGGCTCAAAGTGGTAGAGTGCTAGCCTTGATCAAAAGAGCTCAGGGACAGCGCCCAAGACCTGAGTTCAAGCCCCACGACTGACAAAAAATATGGAATGGGATGGGAGTGTTTGAGGTTTAGGATATAGGGTCCTACAAAGATAGAGCTATCAAGTGAGATCGATCAACAGGCAACTGACAGCCTAGAGTTCTGGTGGAGAGAGGTGGCCCGGTGTGCTTGAGGCTGGAGGGGGGGGGAGGGGAAAGAGGAAGCTGTCAAGGCAGGTTTAGAAGAATCCATGGGCTGAGGTGTGTGAGGTTGTCCTGAAGAAAAGGAGGTACACGTGAACAGGTGCCAGGTCTCTAGTGCAGAATTCCGGGCTCCCAAGTCAAGTGGCCCAGAATCTCCAAGAACCTGAGAACCTGAAGAGGGTTCTAGGAATGTGTAGCTCCCCCTCCCACCCCAACCCCAAGGGTCTAAAGAATCCGGGCATCACGACTACAGAGGGAAAGTTGCTGGTTTTATAGGAAAAAGCAGGGGATGGGGGGGGGGGCACAGAATTTGATAGGTGTGAGGTAAGTCCCGGGCCTAAAGTTGTTGTTGTTGTTATTTATTAGGGCCCCAGGTTTAAGGGATGCTAGCCAGAACCTGGAAGGTCTGCAAACCCCTGTCAACTCTACTGAGCGTGGAGGGCCTTCACGAGCCCTAAATGGGAGAAGGGGGTCTCCAGGGGGTCCTCAAATGCCAGCGGATGTGGCAGTGTGGATAGCTGGGGATGCCGGGGCGGGGGAAGAGAGTGCACCGTCAGGGGTCCGGTGCCCACCGGGGGGCCCCGTCTGGAGCCGCGTCCCTCACCTGCTCGGATGGGGGGGGGGACAAGAAGCCCCCCTGGGCAGCCTCCGGAACCGAAGCCTCCGCGCGCGAGCTCCAGGCCTCCCCCACCCGCGCCGCCGCGTCGCTCTAGCCGCCCCACCAGGCGCCTGGGCGCTCAGCTCCACTCTCCTCCCACTCCTCCCGCCGGCCGCTCTAGCCTGACGTCTGTCCAGGTATCGGCCTCCCCGACAACTCGACTGCGCCGCGCCGGACGCTCTAGCTCTCCGCGGCGCCACGCTGGCCGACGAGGGCCGCTCTAGCCTGACGTGGAGGGCTTGACGTTTCCGTCATCTCGACTGCTCCTGTCACTCTCCTGGGGCCCCGCCCCCTCCGCCAGAGGGAGCGGGAGGTCCCAAAACTCCTGGCTCAGACAGACAGACAGAACGCAAATCTCGGCGATCTTCGACACCTCAATTCTCCGGACCTCGAACTGGGGGGAGTCCGGAGGAGGTCCCCCTCTCTGTCTCCCCAGTTCCCCGAATTCCGAACGCTGATCCACCAGGTCCCTTGGCCATCCCGCCAGTCCGCTCCGCTGCAAAACTCTGCGCTTAAGGAAGTTTAACTTTGGCTCGCCGGCATCAATGTAACTTTCTAGAAGCAGTTACTTCCCAGGGCTCAATCTGCTTCTCCGTGCAATGCAGAGAAGGGTCCAGCTCTCTGCCCAACATCTATTTCCCAGGGTATAATTAGTGACCCGGAAAAAAAAATTAACTCTCTAAACCCTTTCTGCAACGCTCAGCCTCACACCGGCCCAGCACGGATGTTTGTTGTTGTTTTTCTTTTGGGGGTGACCTTCAAGCCTGCAGGGTTGGAGGTCGGCGTAAGGGCGGGCGGAAGCCACGTTCAAGTTCAAATTAACTGGACATAGATAGTGTCACAAAGGGACCCATCTGTTTGATTCCCCGTGCCTCAGTTTCCCCACAGATAGATGGATGTGATCGTCCTTTCTTCCACTGGACGATCTAGCCTAAACCATCCTTCACCACCCCCACCACCACCCCCATCTATTGGTGGGGCATCCGTCCTTTTGACAGATGGGTACACTGAGGTCCCAGGAGAGGAGGCCGCGGGCTCTGGGGCTGCAAGCCGGGAGGCCCCTCGGCTGTCAGCAGCGTCCCAGCACCCCCCACCCCGCTCTTCCCCATTTCTCCTGGCAGCCGAGGGGCGGAGGCCGGGCGGGGCCGCCCCCTCCCCCTCCAGTACCTGGTGTCCGCGCGGGGTGGTGACCGGCGGGGCGCCCGAGGTCGGGCTCGGCGGGCGATCCCGGGCCCGGTGTCCAGGCTCCGGCTTCCTGGCTCTGGCGGGGCAGGAAGTTGGGGCGGTTTTTTTTTTTTTTTCTCTTTTCTTTTTTTCCGGAGGCCCCCGCCCGCTGCCCCTCCCTGCTTCCTGCCCGCGCCCCGCGCCCGCCCGGCACCTCCGCTTCCTTCCCCTTCTCCTCGCCGACCGCCGGCTCCTCCTTGCCCCGAGGGCACTAGCCCCGCCCGGCTCTCCGTGGATGCTTTGTCTGTCTGTCTGTCCTCACGCGGGACGCGGGGGGGACTTCGCGATCCCTCCCCCCTCCCCATCCCCTGCGTCTCCCAATCCCCCGATTTCCAGGCCTTATCTGCGGGCGGTGACCAGGGGCGAACCCCCCTCACAGCCGCACGCCGCCTGACCCCGCCTGGGACCCTCGCCCTGGATCTAGGTCCCTCATTCCCTTTCCCAGGTGGGGTCTTCTGCTCTTCCTGCTCTCGGATCCTTCCTCTCTCTGAGCCCTGCTTCCCCCCCCCCCCCCCCATCTACCTTTTTTTTTTTTCCTGTGCCTGTCCCAGGGCTTGAACTCAGGGCCTGCGAGCTGTCACTGAGATTTTTAAAGCTCAAGGCTCTCATTCTATCACTTGAGCCACAGCTCTACTTTGGGCTTTTTTTTTTGGTAGTGAACTGAGATCAGAGACTTGTGGACTTCTTCCTGTCCCAAACTGGCTTTGATCTGAGATCCTCAGATCTCAGCCTCCTGAGTAGCTGGGCTGACAAGCCACCGCGGCACCAGCCACCTGGCTCAATCCTTTCCCACATGAGTCTCCCTTCAGCCTCTTCCAAGTTCAGTGTTCCCCACTTTCCCCGGGGTTCTTCTTTCCTTGTCTGTCTTGGTGTCTGGGCTCTGTCTGTGTCTGCATTTTCCACGAGTCACTGCATCTCTGTCTCTCTTCCTCCCTGGCCTTCTGCCCCTCTGAGTCTGTCTCTTTCCCTAGCTGTGTGACTCTGTGTCACTGCCACTCTGGATTGCTCCCACACCCACACATGATGGTCCATAGACTCTTTTTTTTTTTTTTTTGTCAGAGGTGGGGCTTGAACTCAGCTTGAGCGCTGTCCCTGAGCTCTTCAGCTCAAGGCCAGTGCTCTACCACTTGAGCCACAGCACCACTTCTGGTTTTCTGGTGGTTAATTGGAGATAAGAGTCCCATGGCCTTTCAGGCCCAGGCTGGCTTTGAAGTGATCCTCAGATCTCAGCCTCCTGAATCGCTGGGATTACAGGCGTGAGTCACAGGTACCTGGCTGCCCACACACTCTTTAAATCCTCCCTGGGGAAGTAGGATGCCAGCCTCACAAGATAGTAGCCTACATGTTTCCAGAGCTTAGATATGCGCGCAAAATTTGGTAGCCACAACTCCCCCAACAGTCCCCATTTGCTTAGGGACAAGGGAGGGGTGAGAAAATGAGGGGTGCTTGGAAAGGGGCCAAACCAGCCCTTCTGTTGGTGTGGTGGGGACTTCCCCTTCCAAAGACTTCCTGTTTCTCTGGGGAAATGTGGGGGGGGGGGACAGGAGGGGCATTTCCAAGCTGGCTATCTAGTCCTCAGCTTCCTGGAATGGGCCTAGGCCAGGGACTGCTTTGGTCCAGAATCCTGAGGCTGAGGAGAGGAGGGGCCAACTTGAGTCAGACTCATGGGTCCCGGGGAAGAAGGAGCTGGAGAAGGAGCTGGAGCGGGGTGTTCCTCTGAGATCCATGACTCCTGCCAAGGTCTGCTGTTGGAGAGGATTTATTACTGTTAAGTGGCCATGACAGGGCTGGGGGGGTGGGGGGGATATACTAACGAGGCTGCAACAATCAGCCTTCTTAAGGGCTCCCTCCCCAGCGATTAAGGGCTCATTACCCACTGGGGAGACAGCCTGGGAAAGGCAGCCAGGGGAGGGGTAGTTTGGGGGGGGGGGACAGTGCAGAGGGAAGCTAGCTAAGTGGAGAAAAAAAACAAGAGAATTTCCCCAGACAGGCATAGAGGACAGACTTGGAGCTGGGCACGCAACAGCCAGGGGCAGGCTGAGAGGGTGGTGGTGGTGGTGGTGGTCACGGCTTTTCCAGCTGGACATCCCCAATATGGAGGCTGCCCACATCTTGGTAGGTGCCCTGGAGTCCCCTGGAGATATCCTCATACATGGAGCAGTCATCCAGGTTCAGGCCCTGCAGGGAGGAGGAGAGGTGGGCATAGCGCTTGGATGGCTGCAGTCCCTGCTATACACCCCCCCCCCCGCCATACACCCACCCCTACCCCATCCGCATTCTCTGCTTACCTCATAAAGGTTTTCATCCTCATAGTCATCCCGAACATCGGCCTCAAATTTCTCATTCTGCCACCGCTTCTGTAGGGGATGATGGGGCGGGGTGGGGGGAGGGGGCAAAAGAAAAAGTTCTTCAACCCTCCCTGGATATCAGGAGGGGATCTTCCCAGAAAGAGGTGGGGGGGGCACAAGGCACTACATGCTGAGGATGGGGCATGGTAGGTCTCTCTCTCTCTCTCTCCCTCTCTCTCTCCCTCTCTCTCTGGACCCAAAGCTAGTTTCCTTTTGTCTCCACTGTCTTATTATTCGTGAATTACAACAATAACTAATGGGTAGGGTGGTTCACAGCTATCATCCCAGCTATTCAGGAGGTGGAAAGAGGAGAATCCTGGGGGCTGGGGGCTCACGCCTGTAATCCTAGCTACTCAGGAGGCTGAGATCTGAGGATCATGGTTCAAACCCAGCCAGGGCAGGAAAGTCCTTGAGACTCTTATCTCTAATAAACCACTAGAAAATTGGAAGTGGCACTGTGGCTCAAGTGGTAGAGCGCTCACCTTGAGCTGAAGAGCTGAGGGACAGCACCCAAGCCCAGAGTTCAAGCCCCTCATTGGGGGAAAAAAAGAAAAGAGGAGAATCCTGGTTTAAGGTCAGCCTGGGTAATGAACTATGGAGACTGTCACAAAAATAAATAAATAAATCTGAACTGAGCTCACACTTGTAATCCTAATTACTCAGGAGGCTGAGATCTGAAGATCATGGTTCAAAGCCAGCCCAGGGAAAAGGATCAATGAGACTCTTCTCTTCAGTGAACCTCCAGAAAACCAGAAGTGGTGCTATAGCTCAAAGTGGTAGAGCACTCATCTTGAACAAAAGAGCTCAGAGACAGCATCCAGGCCCTGAGCTCAAGCCCCATAAGTGACAAGAAAGAGAGAGACAGACAGACACCTGGGTACTGGTAGCTCATGACTATAATCCTAACTACTGAAGAGGCTTAATTCTGAGGATTGAGGATTGAAGCCAGCCAGGGAAGCAAAACTTGGAGTCTTATTTCCAATTAACCATCAATAAACCAGAAGTGGTGGTATGGCTTAAGTGGTAGAGCTTCAGCCTTGAACAGAAAAAGCCTAGCATGAGCATGAGGCCCAGAGTTCAAGCCCAAGTAACACACACACACACACACACACAATAATAAGCTAGGCTTGATGGCACATGTCTATGATCCCAGCTACAAGTGAGGTATAGGCAAGAGGATCTTGGTCAGAGGTTGGTGGGCAAAAGCAAGAGACCCTATCTGAAAAATTAACTAAAGCCAAAAAAAAGAAAAAAGAACTAGTCTGACGTAAGTGACAGAGTTCAACTTGAGTTGAACTTGAGTTCAAACTTGAGTTCAACCCCAATACCACCATTTTTTTTTAAAGTACAGTAAATAATAATTGTTCCTCTGTGGGCTAAGGTGCGGCAGCAAAACCAGGGCAAGTGACTCTGGGAGCCCCTCCCCCAGGTCTGTTTGTCCCTGCTTTATGGCTATCTTCATCTGCAGGGGGGACGGCAGGTGGAGAGCCCCTGGCCTGGGAGATGGATGCTCTGATTCTCCCAAACGGTGGAAGAATCTTAAACAGCAGAGGACCCGCTGGGCACTTGGGAGCTTCCATTCTGGCCCACCCAGGCCCCTGGCTGGGTTGAGGATGGGTCCCTGGGGGGTGGGGTAGGGATGGGGCTCACCCTGAATAACAGCAGCGTCCCAGGCACCACGGCACAGAACAGCAGTATAATCCCTTCGGCTGTGATGATGCGGTTTTTGGTGCCCTCGCCCATTTCCAGGAAGGATCTGGGGGGTGGCTCTGTGAAGAAAAGGGGTGCTGCTGCTCAGATCCCTGCCCTCCTGCCCTTCCCCGCCCTCCCTCACAGGCTGCACCTTGAGCCCTAGTGGCTGGTTCGAAGCCCAGGTAAGACACAGAGAAGGGAAGAAAGTAGGGGGTTCCCAGTCGGAGCCGGGGATCTGCGCACTCACCACGCACACGGAGGTAGGTGCCACAGGAATGTCTTGGTGTTTCCTTGTCTTGCACCTGGCACTGGTATATGCCCCCGTGGGACTTGTTCACCTTCGAGATGACCCACTCGCCCTGGGCACCTCGGCCCAGACCCAAGAATATAGGGGGCCACGATTGGTTGCTCTGGAGAATGTGCCACCACGTGACATTGAAGTTGCTGGCATTTTTGTGCAGGCATAAGAGTCGAGCCTCGTCCCCAGTGCTCACGGTCATGGAAGGTGGACTCTTGTGCCACAACAGAGCCTGGCACCCAGGGCCTGCAGATGGGAGACGAGAGTGGGTCAGGAACCCTAAAGGTCTAGGGTCCCACCTGCAGCTGGACCCATGATTTTCCTTGTGCAACCATCAAGAAATCCTCTATGAAAGCCAGGTATTGGTGGATCACTCCTATAATCCCAATGACTCCAGAGCCTGAGAACTGAGGATCAAGATATCAAGATTTGAAACTTACCCAGGCAGGGAAGGGGTTGGTTGTAGGGCTTGAACTCTTCAGAAGCTGTCCCTGCGCTCTTTTGCTCAAGGCTAGTGCTCTGCCACTTTAAGTCATAACTCCACTTCCGGTTTGGTTTTCTGGTTATTGGAGACAAGAGTCTCACAGCTTTTTTTTTTTTTTTTTTTTGGCCTGGGCTGGCTTTGAACTGCAATCCTCAGATCTTAGCTTCCTGAGTAGCTAGGATTACAGGTGTGAACCACCAGCATCAGATGTAATTTCTAACAAGGCCATCCAGCTCTTCCTGGCTCTGCTTCTTTTCCCTTTGGGGGTGCCCTTCCTCTATCCGGAGGCCCTCCCTCCAGCCCTTCCCATGCCCACCGTTTAGCTACATACCCAGGCTGACTGCAGTCAGTAAGAGGAGGACAAAGATGGTGGCAAGTGGTGATCCTAGACCTGTAGGCATCTTCTCGAAGTGGGTTGGTTAGTCCGGGTCGCAGCAGTCTTAGGGTACCAAATTCCACCCAAAGCCCCGCCTTATTTCCTGCCTAGCCCCACCGGAGATGGGCTCCAGTGGCCCCCACTACCCGGCTCTCTGGCTGCCTGCTGTAGTGTTTCTGCCTAGAGCAGCTGGAGCACCTGTGGTGACCACAATTCCCCTGAGACAGGACTGCTGGGGTGCAGAGGAGGTGGCTTGTTACTGCCATGGTGAATCCGGGAAAGAAGCCTGAGCAAGCCGGAATTGAGAATCTGCAGGGTGATTTTGCCCCTCTATACTCTAAGTCCACATTTGCTCTGTCTCTCTTTTTCTCTCAGGATTGGAAACAAGGATGTGGAGGGTTGTGTGTGCATAGCTCTGGACCAGGTCTGGTGTGTAGTAGTAGCTCAGTAAATGTTGCCACTCATGAAGACCAAATTAGGAAGGGCACCCTTAGCCAACTGCCTGGGTGACTAGGTTCATTTCCTCTGAGCCGTGTGTGTGTGTGTGTGTGTGTGTGTGTGTCTGTGTCTGTGTCTGTGTGCACACTGCTCCTGGGACTAGAACTCTGGGCCTAGACATTGTCCTTTGCCATTTGGCTCAAGGTTGTTGCTCTACCACTTGAGCCACACGTCCACTTCAGGCTGTTTGCTGGTTGATTGGAGGTAGCAGTCTCACAGACTTTCTTGCCCTGCCTGGTTTATGAACCTCAATCCATAGATCTCAGCCTCCAAAGTAGCAAAGTGTGAGCCACCGGTAAATGGAGAAGTCTTCATTTTGCATCTCAGTTGAGCCTCGGTTTTTTTTCCCCCCTAAAATGTGGATACAACCTGGCTTTGTGAAGCTATGGAATTATTACAATGTGCAATGAACAGTTTCTAAGTGAAGTGGCTCACGCCTGTAATCCACGGAGGTGGAGATAAGGAGACTCTCACAGGTGGAGGCCAGTTGAGGCAAAAAGGACACACCTCCCTCCCTCCGCCCCCCTCCCCATCTCAATAAATAAGCTGGACATGGTAGTGGGCATCTGTGGTCTCAGCTATGAAGTTTGCCACAGGCAGATTGTGTCTGCGGCGAGAAAAATACAGAAAGAAAGAAAGAAAGAAAGAAAGAAGGGCTGAAGGCTCACGTGGTAGAAAGCTCCAGGCCAAAAAGAAAGAGAAAGGTTTCCCTTTTTTCCTCTTTAGAAACATTAGGATACATTTTACTCTGATGTATTAATTGTACAAGCAGGATGTCATTGTAACGTCTACACAATGTATCCTAATTAACCTCACCTCCACACTTCTTAAAACATTTGCAAAGAGGTTTCATTGTTCTATTTTCATACATGTAAATAAACCAGCAACCATATTTATCCGCATTCACTCTTCTCCCTTAGCCCTGCCCCCCTGGCTAGTATAAAACCCCAATGTTTGGTGTTATTTTGCCAGTCCTGGAGCTTGTACTGAGGGTGTGGGCACCGTCACTGAGCTTTTTCACTCAAGGCTTAGCTGCAGTTCAACTTCTAGCCTTTTTTTTTTGGTCAGTCGTGGGGCTTGAACTCTGGGCCTGAACACTGTCCCTCAGCTCTTCAGCTCAAGGCTAGCACTCTACCACTTGAGCCACAGCGCCACTGCCGGTTTTCTGGTGATTTATTGAAGAGTCTCAAGGACTTTCCTGCCCTGGCTGGCTTTGAACCGTGACTCTCAGATTTCAGTAGCTAGGATGATAAGGCATGAGCCACCGGCACCCAGCTACTTCCAGCTTTTTGTTTGGCTTGGTTTACTGGAGATGAGTCTCCTGAACTTTCTTGCTTGAGCCAACTTTGAACCTCCATCCTTAGATCTCAGCCTCCTGAGTAGATAGGATTACAGGTGTGAGCCATTAGCCCCTGACTAAAGCCCAGTGTCTAAAAACACTAGGTATCCAGTCCTTGTGCCCTGTTGCCTCAGTTTCTCCTTATGACTTCCTCACCAGGTCGAGAGCTGGGAGCTAAAGGAATTCATCCTCAGCATTCCTCCAATGCTGGGCCGGTTTTCAGGCTCTTGACTGCCCCCCTGTGGCTGACAAGGCAAAGCTGTGGGTTTGCAGGCTGCTTCTCCTGCCCAGGTGGCCTGACCGGGGACCTCCATCTGTAGTTTACCCAGTGCTCTGACTTGTACCTGGGGCTTGGCACTGGGTGCTCCTATCTCTAGGAAACATGTTCATTCTCAATGGTGTAAGGCTCACATCAAGAAATGTCATTTCCAAGCCAGGTGCTGATGGCTCATACCTGTAATCCTACTCAGGAGGCTGAGATCTGAGGATCACAGTTCAAATTCATTCCGGGCAGAAAAATTCCTGAGACTTCAAATCATGGAGCCTTCAGCTAATCAGTTCAAGGGCAGCACCCAGGTCCTGAGTTGAAGGCCCAGGACCTGCAGTCTCAGTTTTCTCCCTTCTGAGACAGCGTGGTAACAGGCTGCGGAGAGTTGCTTAGGTCCCAATGTTTCTGACACTTCTAGCCTTGGGAAGTCCCACAAATTACCTCATCTATGCTCATTCCCAATGTAAGTATTCATTTTATAAGGTTACAGGCACATAACATTTTTTACATTTAGCTGGGTGACTGTGGCTCATGCCTGTAATTCTAGCTACTCAGGAGGCTGAAGGTTTGAAGCCACACCAAGTAATAAGTCTATGAGATAAAGCTGGAAGGAATGCTGTAATTCAAGTGGTAAGATAATAAGCACTGAGCAAAAAGGAGCTTAAGGGTCAGCACCTAGACTGAGATGGTGGTGGGGTAGGGATTTGTCCAGCAAGTGGTATATTTTTATTAAATACAAACCTTTTGGCATGGTCAACCCCCTATATGGAAGAGGCAGTAGGAGACTACTGTTTAACACTTGAGCTATACTTTTTATGTCAGTTGTGGGGCTTGGACTCTGTCCCTCAGCTCAAGGCTAGCACTCTAACATTTCCTGCTTATGTGGTGCTGAGGAATCGAACCCAGGGTCTCATGAATGCAAGGCACTCTACCACTGATCTACCTTCCCAGCCCAATCCTTATTTTTTGACAGATCTTCCTTTACCTGGGAAGGCCTTCAAATAAGTATCTTCCTAACATATGGGTGGCTAGGATTACAGGTGACCCTCCACACCCAACTCATTTGTTTACTAAGTATGGCTAGACCAAGAGTGCCTACCTGGGATTCTGCTTAAAGCCAGCTGTTGGTGGCATTTTGCTGAATAAGCATCACAGCTGAGGAAGACAAAGGTGCATAGGGTCCCACAGAAGGAACATAACTAGGCATTCAAGTAGCAGAGAGCAGCAAAAACTAAACAGGACAGTGGCAGGCCTTGAGGTTCAAGCCCCAAAAAAGTAAATTTAGAGAAGGGTAGGGTAGCACCCAACTGGAACCCCAGCATTGGGGAGGCTGAAGCAGGACATTTATGGAACAGCCTTGTGCCAGCCCTGCCCCAGGAAGCACCTACAATTTTGGTGTGGAGACACTGAATTCAGGGCCCAACATTTGAAACCTGTTTCAAGGCAGGGCTCTGCCTTGTCTGGGCTGCAATCTTGCGTTTCCCCTTATTCCTAGGGATGACAGGCATCTTTGGCCAGCCAGGGAGTCTCCTCCACGTTCAATTCACCTCTCCTAGAACTGGGAAATGTACAAGCAGGGCAGGAGACGAGGGCACACCTCCTCCCCTAAATACTGGGGAGGAAGCCTCAAGCAGGCCCACCCAAGCCCAGGGTGCCTTGACTTGGAGACACAGGGCTACGTGGCCAGGCCACTGGGGAGGCCCGCAGGTCCCTTTCCACACATCTAGGGACCTTCTTCCCTACTCCAGTCCAGGACTCAGCAGGGACCTCCCCAAAGCCATCTTATTCAGACAGGAATAACCAGAGGCCAAAAGCAGGTCTAAAGCCATGCCAGGCATGGAGCCCTGCAGCTACCAGGGCCACCTGGCCAGTCCTCACAACAGGATAACCTTCCTCAGGTCTCAAAGCTTGCAATCAAGAGGCCCAGACCGGGATTACGAATGAGGCAATTTATTAACCCAGCATCTTTGTTCTAATGCTTCTTGTTGGCAGCTGCCACCTGTGGGAAAAGGCAGAAGAGAAAGGTGAGTGGGATATCTGCTGGGGTACCTGCATGCCCCCTCCCCCTATTACTCCATCTCCATAACCCTATGGAGCTCCAGATGTAGAATGGGAGTATAAGCTTCCATAGCCTTGTGAGGTGAGGGGCAAGGGCTGGCAGCTTTAATTTTTGGTCATGGAGCTTACTCTAGGACTGGGCGCTGACCCTGAACTCTTCAGCTCTGTATCACTTGAGCCATAGCACCACTTCTGGCTTTCTGCTGGTTTACTGGAGATCAGTCTCACGGATTTTCCTGCCTGGTCTGGCTTTGACCCCCGATCCTCAGGATCTCAACCTCTGAGTAGCTAGGATCACAGGTGTCAGGCTCCTTTATTCTTTTTTTTTGGGGGTGGGGGGGGGGGGGGGGTGGGGGGAGGGTCCGGTTGTGGGGCCTGAACTCTGGGCTTGGGTGCTATCCCTCAGCTCTTCAGCTCAAGGCTAGCGCTCTACCACTTGAGCCACAGTGCCACTTCCCGCTTTTTTTCTTTTTTCTCATGTGGTGCTGAGGAATTGAACCCAGGGCCGCCTCATGCATGCAAGGCAAGCGGTCTACCACTGAGCCACCTTCCCGGCCCAGCTCCTTTATTCTTAATACCTTAACTTACTGACTGTTCAACAGTCCACAACTCTTGAATCTGACTTAATGATACGGCTCAGTGCTAGGCTGGGGTTCTCACTACTGTGTCGCCTGTACCCAGTACTCAGCAAGATGAGGAGTAATCAAAGAGCTGACTTGACGCGGGATCATCTACCCCCTGCATTCCAACTTCCCTCCAGCTCCAGCACAAACCCATTTCTCTTGCCCAGAGCAGTGCCCTCCAGGGGAGGTGGCGGTCACACCAGTGCACAGCCTCACCTGTCCGGCGATTCTGTCCAGATCTCTTTGTCCCTGAGGTGTCAGCTTGCGGCCCCTGTGGAGGGAAGAGTCACACACTCAGCCCCCCTCCCCTTAGGCACCATGCCAGC